GCCCTCTCTGAATAGTACTTCTCTTGAACCGTTAAAAGAAACAGACTCGAGGCGTACCTTCTCCGATGATCTCTTTCTTCGGCTGTATCTGTCGGATAACGACCCCACAATAAATGGACAGTTTCGCCTTGATTTGGAGCCGGGTGCCGGGCTACTTATGCAGCATAATGCGCTATACTTTTCATTTCATCGAGGGAGCAGACCACCTTGATGCATCTTCATTTGCTAGGTTGGCATCCTCAGTAGATCACGAGGTCTCTCTGGCTATTCACATACAGCCGGACCCTCTTTGTGGAAAAGGGGAGAAATGAATACCCCGATCACTGGAAACCACCACATACCGCTTATTTCATGTGACTGAAGGATCCTCATGGAACACCCAGCAGCGATTGATGTATGCGGGCTTCCGCGTGCTTCTTTGCACGGACTTCACTTGCTTGATTAAACATTCTTATCTTTCCCGGAAAGTACATCAACTTGACAGTCTTGCATCTTTTGAACAAATCAGAAAGCGTATAATATACAGCTTGGTCATACCACCGCGACAGGACTGTATCCCCGTCAGAATGTGCTTCGTAGACCAATCGCATAGGATGGAGGAAATCTGTGCTGTGAGCAGATTATTACGATATCGACAAGGCGTAACCGGCGCTAGAAAGGCTAAGCTCCGAAGGTGGGGCGGGAATATGATCCATCATCCAGTAGAACCCACTGCCCTATAAGTAAGAACGTGGTCGGGCAACTACCTCTGCACCAAAGATTGCGAATTGATTTTTATCACCGCCTCGGTGACTCGTCTGCCAAAATGCAGATGGAGGGTATGAGCGGGGGGACGTATTACGGCGTCTTGCATGCCTCCGATGTTGATTTCGCCAATATCACTCAGGTCGAGACATTTCTGCATGAGCTCAAGCATCTGGAGTATCTTCCTATCCTAGGAGCACGCTATGCAGAGTATTTCTGGTATGGGATTATTGTTCTGCTGGTTGCGGTCGCAGTCATCAACAGAGTGTACTCACTTGTTCGACGCTTGAGGTGAGTCAGCATAATGGGTTCTTCAGTGACTTGAGTCGGATAGTTATCATGCTAATCTAAGTCGTTGTCGCGGAAAGGTTCCATCCAAGTATAACTCAAAATTCTTACCTTGCCAAGATCGCCCTGTCCACACTCTCAACCATTACAGCGCTGGCTCGAGAGCCATCTTATCTCCAGTGGACCCCCCGTGCACTGTCACCTTGGTTCATGCTCCCGCCATTCGGACCAATATATATCATCCTCGCATACTTTGTCTTCATCATTATCTTGGAGTTCATCAACAACAAAGTTGCAGGAGCTGGATACTGGCAGTTTCTTGGAGTCCGCGCTGGATGGCTTGCAACCGCTCAGATTCCCCTCCTTGTAGCCCTTGCCGGCAAAAGAAATTTGATCGGTATGCTCTGCGGCATTCCCTATGTTCGACTGAATATCTACCATCGCTGGGTATCTCGAGGGCTCTTGCTGCTTTCGACTTTCCATTTCGCCTTCCAAAACCATGGGTGGGATCTCTACCATATAAGTAAACTGGAGTGGGACACAGATGACTGTCCCACAAAGGGCATCGCTGCCTACGCTTTTATCCTATGGATGAACCTCACAACATTAGCTCCCTTCCGACACATGAGCTACGAGTTCTTCGTCGTACAACACATCATCACGTTCTTCGGTTTCATCATCGCGCTCTCCTATCATCTGGACACAGGTCCAGCCCCCAACGCTCAACGGTACATCTACGTCACCGCCGGTATTTACGTCGCGGGTTTGATCCTGCGATTCGTCTACTACAGCTATATCAACTCCCGTCCCGCGCGAGCAACATTAGAACCCCTGGAAGGCGGTGCGACCAAGGTCCGAATCACAGCCCGGAAGATCCGTAATTGGAAGCCCGGATCACATATCCTTCTATCAATCCCGCGACTAGGGCTCCAGCTCTCACATCCAGCAACCATCTCATCCATACCAACATCCCACGATGGCGAACTCGTCCTCATCCTAAAAGCCCACAAGGGCTTTACAAGAAAGTTGATCAACAGAGCAGAGGCCATCACCAACGGCCCCAAAGATGCCGAATCCATACAAACAAAGCGCTCATACACGGCTCTAATTGACGGCCCCTACGCAAGCTCCTCTCCAGACTTCACATCTTTCGATTCCGTCTTGTTCCTCGCAGGTGGCACAGGTGTGACATTCACTCTATCCCAACTCCTCCAAGTCGCACACCGTTCCACAGACGGGTCGTTGCCTCTCCGCCAAGTCCTCTTCATCTGGGTAATCAAGGAAAGCCGCCAAGCGTCATGGGCCTTGGCCGAGCTTGAAGCCGCGATGCAGAAGCTGCAGAACACAAACATTCAGATCCGCGTCAAGATATTCGTCACCCAGGACTCTGTTTGCCTCCCAGACATCAAGAACAATGATGAAAAACAAACCTGTGCCTGCACAAATCCCTGCCTCTGCACCCCCAACAACAATTATGCCGACGACACCGACGACATCGATAAAATCGAGCAAATAACCCCTTCTTCTCCCTGCACGGAGCCAGATTCGGTCCTCGAAGCCTCTGGACCGCCCAGGGTCTCCTTCAAGCAGGGAAGACCTTCGTTTGACGGTTACATTGAGGACGCAGTCTTGCAGGCGAAGGGGGAAATAGCTGTTGCTGTTTGCGGACCCATTGGGCTAACCGTTTCTGTGCGACAGGCGGTGGTCCGAGTGTCGGATCATCTGGCTGTTTGTAAAGGGTCTGGGTTGCCGGGGGTGTTTTTGCATGTGGAGAATGTGTGTTGATGACTACTCGACTAGAATCATTGGCAGTGTTAATTAAGTAGGCTAGGCGCGTGGATGGATGCAGATGATGGTGCGATGTATATATCCGAGATGAGTACATAGGAATTAGTAGTATGAGATCTGTGCGTTTAGTTTCAATGATACCAATACGAATACGATAGTGCAGATATACCCTGGTACTATTTCTAATTTGGGTACAGTTTAGGTTAAGCATAAATTTCCTGTAAGGGTCTCGTCTAATTTTGCTTTCGTTAGCAGTGGTGCTGTAGGATCTGTTTCATCTTTTTGCGGTCGGCAATGGCCTGGCGGGCACTGGCAGTGTTGGGGCCTCAGGCTGGTTCAGTTGGGAAATAGGGGCATAGTTTTGATTCAAACTGAATTCACCAGGTAGTTTCCCTATAGGTGACTAAATACTGTTGTCACCTTTGCGGGTTTCTTATCTGCTACCTGTCTGCAGAAGCGAACTGCCTAAAGGGAATTTTGAAGACTCATGTCATTTCTTTGGACGAGGACTTTGACATCCTGCGACAGTTTACTATGGTCCACTGTCGCTCGATGGCCAAGACGTCTGAGTGTCGAGCGATACCCCCACTCACGTTTCGGAGGTCCGAAGGTGTACTATGTTTAGAGTTGTTAAATATACATAGCTCTGGCAAAATGGCAACCTATTTTCCTTCCGTAGTTTATCTATGATAAGACGAAATAGAATGGATTCATGGCGCATTCAACGGACAAGACACTAGCCCAAATGATGTAAAGAGTGGCGTAAAGCTAAGATTAAGGATAGTATGTGTGCTGGTTGGTCGGTGTTCGTGTGCAAGGTCAAAAGCCTTCGCAGATGCTAAGACCCGATCGTCAAAGCATTTTCAGGGGGTAGAGCCTGTTTCGTTCTCCCGTTGATTTTCGATGCAGTGTACGGACAACAGCACATACTGTCAATGTAAGAATGTGTGCCTGTCAGCCGTTTGTCAGAGTATTCCCCTGACGTATTGTCTGGTTCATGTGAAAATCCCTACGGCGTGCCCTTAGGCAGAATGCAATGGCTTCTTCCGTGGGTCCTAGTCCGTTAAAATCTCGCTTGTCTGTTTTATGTGGGTATGCTTCGGGGATCCGAATTTCTCTCCCCGCGGTGGTTGATTCTAAACTCCAACCGGTCCTTGGCTAAAACAAGTCTGCGGCACGAGTGACCAGATAGGCTTAGGAAAAACCAGATTGTACCTGGACGGGAGATGGGGTCAGACGGGACGTTCCACCTGGGCTTGCGAAGTGTGCGAAAGTGCGTTGCAAGGTGGTTTGTTCGTTAGTCGTTACGCATGTGCAATTACGTAGAATTGTTCAAAGGGTCTATTATTAGTAGCTCAGAACCCCAGAGAAATCCCGTTAATGGAGTTTAGGCAATATGTTTTCGCAGGATAGGGTGGTTCGTCCGAGCTTTTGAGATGTCAAACGGGCCCATCGTCATTTCAGACAAGTTGGACTCGTGGTGCGTGGGACTCGGCCCCATTATCGTTATCTGCGGTCCAGCGAATCAGAAGACAATTTTGCGTGGAACAGGGGGGCATTGCTTACTGCGTTCTCAGACGGGTGGATGCGCATTACTAGGCGGCTTAGCCACGGTAGGAGACGGGAGAACGAGAACACAGCAAGGTCAATGGATGGAGGGGAAATGGGAAGAAAAGATAAAATAAAAAAAAAGAAAAATCAAGATCATGGAGTCAAAGGATGAATGTGAATGAAAATTCAGGATGCAGCTGATCGGCAGTGAGCAGGATAAGATGATAGGGAAGGCAAGAATGAAGAGGGACGGTCTGATTGACGGGTTGAGTGTTGCACCGTGGCGGAGAATGACTTACTGACTAACGGACGGCCCCTCACCAATCACGAGCGGCTGATGCCGGCCGTCTTCCCCTTCGATCATCTCTCAGCCTTTCGCAGTCCAGGCCATCCGTTCATTCACCATCCAACTCAACCCAGTCGTTCTTTCGGTCCTCTCTTTCGGTTCCAATCCCCCCCCCTCCTCCTCCGGATTCTCCTTCTCGAATGAAGTTTCTCTATTATTCTTCCCACTATTCTAGATAGTTAGTTCCAAGGGCTGCTCGCCAGAGCTGCCTCTTGTTCGCTCTTGGTCCCTCCGCCAACCTTTCTTATCGCGGCCGCAGCGCCGCTCCGCTCCCTTAATCGCCATGCTGCTCAAACCCGCCACTCCCCTCACCATCCTCCTCCTGATCGCATTTGCGCTTCTCCTTATCTCTGTCATTTCCACCCCTATCGTCAAAAGCATTGCGCTTGCGAGACATGATAACATTGACTATGGCGTGTTCGGATACTGCAAAGGCGATGTGTGCACCAGCATTCATGTTGGTTACGCCGACGGTTCGTTGCCCTCTTGTGCTTTTGTTACCAATCTCATGAGGACCGCTAAATTCCTGACTTGAATCGCAGCTGACTCTAGTTCAGATGACATAACTTCCGAAGACGGTACATTTAGCATTGCACCTGGCACCCGCAGATCGCTCTCAGCAATTCTGATCGTCCATCCCGTCGCTGCGTTCCTCACACTCGTATGCCTATGCATGGCCGCAGCGGCTCATTTTCACTCACCGTCGCATTCGCCCCGCTATTTGCTAGCCTTGTTGATCCTACTGCTTCCCACTCTTCTCGTGTCACTCCTCGCGTTCCTGGTCGATATTCTCTTGTTTGTACCGCACATGGCCTGGGCAGGATGGATTGTATTAGTTGCCACCATTTTACTTGTCACTTGCGGCGTGGTTACATGTGCAATGCGGCGGACACTCGTGAGCCGCAAGGCAAGGAAGAAGCGGATCAACGAAAATGCTGAAATGAGCGGGGAGAACTTCTACAACCGCCAAAACGCAGCGGCGGCAGCAGCAGCAGCGAACCTGGATACAAAGGAGCCTGTGATAACTGGGTCTTCGCCTTCATCCGAGACGGGCCCTACATTTGCTACTTTCCGTACGACTACACACGACAGTGATGACGATCGCACGCCACTGAATTCACGGACTGTTCATCCTGACCCTCCAATGCCCGATAACCAGTACACCCGGGCGCGGAGAGATGTGGCAGCCTATAACTCTCCGCCTGATGATGCTGGTATTTCTGGTCCGCAAGCTCCACCATCCGATCCTCGTTTGCGCAATCAGTATTCCGACGGCAGTGTTGGCTCGCGGAGAGGGGCCCCTCCGCCAGGGTTTGCGCGCGGACGGGGTGGTTATCCACCGCGAGGGGCTTATGGCCGTGGGGGGCCTTATAGAGGACCACCTCGGGGCCCGCCTCCTCCGGGTGCAAACGGTGCCCCAATGGGTCCCATGCGAGGTGGACATCCCGGAATGATGGGACGAGGATACCGAGGACCCCCTCCGGGTGATTACATACCTGGGCCCGTTCCTCGGCCAACTCCGCCGCCTGAAGATGAGTACGGCTATCACCACCCACCGCCCGTCGCTCGACAGCCGTCCCCTGGGCCAATTGGAATGGCAGTATCTCCCGATCATGGTAGCCCAATCGGCCAGGCTATCGAAATGCAACCACAGCCACGACGAATGGGCTCTCATGAATCGCATGAAGCGCACCTCGAACCCCAGCCACATGCGCTGTCAGCAGATGGCTATCCGGAGCCTATCAGTCCTTCAAGTCTCTATAGTCGGACAGCGTAAGCTGTGTATCCTCTCTAACCTTGTGTTTGAATGCTAACGGTCTTTAGATCATATATTCCTCCGCGTGCCGGTTGGGCCCCAGAAGAACCGCGGACCGGCCCCTCGCCCTCGCCTGTCCATGCGTATGAAGGGCCACGACAACATGCTCGAACTCCTTCAACGGACTATTTTGAAGATGCAGACCCTCGGTTTGCTACCAACGAGTCGGCGGCAGGCAACCCTCGGTTGCCGGCTGTCTTGACACCAGGTGCTACTGGTGAGAGGAAACCGATGGAAGATATGGCTGAAGGACCCAGCTCACCGACTACTAGCGAAGTAAGCCACTTTACATCAATATCTGAGCGGCCTATCAATCCCCGCTGGCGCCCACCTCCCGTTCCAGCGCAGCGGAAGCATGATGTTCTCCTAGAGAACAATCCCGACTTTGACTTGCGGGCAGGTACTGGGCGGGGAGGAGCTGCTGGTGTTGGTAGTCGTATGCCACCAATGTCGATACCCCGAGATGCGGCAAGATACCCCATTTGAACATAATCTTAATTTCTTTCGTCTACACCATGGATGTGCTTGTCACATTCAGTATGCCGGCCTTGCGTGGAGTTATGGAGTCTGCTATGGAGTCCGCCACTGGACTGTTTCGTTGTGTTCTTCACCACTTACCCTGTCATGCTTGCGCCGCATGACACTGCAAATAAGCGCACCCTGTCCGTTGCGTCGGTCCATGTATATGAAAAATGGAAAGATCCGGGTGTACCATTGAACGGCTCTCTTGCTTTGACGGGGGCTTGATTGTCGTTTGTTATGATTATTATGTTAGTTCGATAGCCATGATTGATTATGATATTACCAGCTGCCTACCTTTGTAGAATCGAGTAAAGTATATGGTAAATCCAATCAGGCACCATGGAAAGGTTGACTTTAGGCTAGAAACATCGCCAAGCGTGGTCATGTGAGTATCGCTGTTCCCAAAGGGTTCAATCACTTGGCTGCATGCAGTGCTACTCCACCGCACAAAGGCCTCTCGAGACACTCCAGTGCACTTGCCAATCCATATCCAGTCAATCACCCATAGCATTCTCTATTGCAGAGCAATTCGTAAATAAGGCATATGATAAGGTTAGTTTGCTAATGTTTAGCCACCTTGCAGCCCAGAAACTTACCAGTACCACCAGTGGTCCGCCTGCTCCGCGATCTATCAAGTCCGCGGATACCAGCAAATTTATGGGGCACATAATACAATTATGGCGGCCTTTGTGGGATTGATGATGCGAAATATGACGCCACAACCTGGATCTGGCATACAAATGATGATTGTCATGGCAATACGAGCTGATTGCGGCTGCCTGCTCCGTGACCTGTGCTTCACTTGGAAATAGCCTTCGTCAGCCCAAGCTCTAACTGGCTCTCAATTATGACTGGTCAACGAAACGTGAATCGATAAGAGATATAGATACGGATTCCCCATCTGTTCAATCCGGAGGGGCTATTTGTCTGGGCTCACATTTGCCGCGAAAAGATGTTCGCAGACCACACACTCGAGAGACGCCAAGTATTCTTGGACACATGCCCAGCGTGGCTCAGCGGTAACTGAATATAAAGTTTACTAGATTTGGACAAACCCAAAAGCCACTTACTGCTGGCTCCAAGCGGAATCATGACAGGTGAGTCTGTTATGGTCTACTGTTGGATAGGTTCAAGTGCTGATGGTGTGGTATCTGACGTTAAAGGTCCTGATACGGATACTATCCAGCCATCACGCCGTGATGTGGCTTATCAAGGCATATAACACGATGAAACTCTTCATGATTCGGTTCTAGCTCATCCATCCCGTTCCATCCCGCAGAGAATGGGGATCTACCCGGACTAGTGCGCCACCTGCCCAGAATCTCCCACCGTCCGCAGTCAATACTGGACAACCGATACCAAATCACAACGAGGGCCGAGAATATAAGCTTGGCAGCTCCCGACCGACGGGTAGCATGAGCCTCTGCCGCTGAGCGGAACCGGATTGGCAGGCCTGCCAAGGTCGTGCCAAGGTAGCGCGCGGCGGAGTATACGATACGTCCAAACCCGAATACACTGAATCCCTGGATATTGTCGCCTGATGAGTCCGATGCGGTATTGCTATCCTGCACAATTCGAATCTCCAGGATGAGGCGTGTTTGTGTCGCATATTGGGCTGAAACTGAAACGTTTAGAGCGGCGGTGAAGACCAACCACGAGGATTGCCAAACGTGTGTCTCTCCGGATAAGAGTATCAACTCGAAGGTTAGGATGGGTGATGATCCAACTCCTTGGCGCGGAGACACACGGGTGACTCGCCATGATTATGAAGATCCAGGCAGTGTCTGCCACATATAGATCCTATGTCCAGCACGTTGGAATGCCCGAGTAAAGGAACTTTATCCATCGCAATTTCTCCTAGCTCTATCACTGCTTCTTTTCAAGTGCCCTAGTTTACATTATGCAGTCCTATCCGTCCGAGGATATTCAACCGGCTCCAGCAGTAAGAACAACAAACAGAGGACATCTCCAATTTGCCGAAGACAAGGGTGGACTCTGGTCCTCTGGCAATAGCACCGATGTCTCCCTCTCTGTCAATCAGGCCGTTAAAGGTGGAGGCCTTTATTCAGATTTGGCTCGACACTTCCAAGCCGAGATCGACACCAGATATGCAGACATAGTCTTGATAGTTTGCGGGTTTGTCAGCGGGCTAGTTGACGGGCTATCCTTTAACGCATGGGGTAGCTTCTCAAGCATGCAGACAGGTACGTCATAGCAGTTTGACTATAGTCGCCTATAACAGCTTCTAATGAACCTAGGGAATACCCTCTTCATCGCCCTCGGTGCCTCCTCCCAACCTAGATATCCAGCTTACCTCTGGGCCAAATCACTCATAGCCCTATGCACTTTTATAACCAGCAACGTCATCTTCATCCAGGTAGCCCGAAGACTGAGCCCTAGGCGTCGTTCAACCCTGATTCTTTCGTTCGCTACCCAGACCCTCTGCCTCCTCGCTGCTGCCATCCTGGTTGAAGCCAAAGTGGTCTCCCCGAAGCCAGAAGATCCCCGGGCTCCGATCCAGTGGATGCAGATTCTGCCCATTACGCTACTTGCCTTCCAGGCAGGCGGGCAGATCTGCGCGTCAAGGATTCTCGCATATGATGAGATTCCTACTGTAGTACTCACAACCTTGTTGTGTGATCTACTGGTCGACCCGGATCTACTCGCAAAGAAGAACGCCAAGAGGAACAGACGGATTGGGGCATTCCTGGCGTTGTTTCTGGGGGCGATGACAGCGGGTGGGCTGTCTAAAGTTGCTACCATGGCGAGTAGCCTGTGGTTCGCCTTTGGGTTGAAGTTCACAATCACCCTTAGTTGGATCGTCTGGAGAGCAGAAGGGAGGAGTAAAGCTGGAGACATCGTTTGATCCGATCAAACCTTCTTCTCACCCCTATGATCGATTAATGTTGTCTTTTTATCTGAGACTGTTCTTACAACACCGAGCCGTCTGTTTCAAGCTTACTAAATTGTCACCATGTTCTCTCAATATTATTGCCATATATTATATCTTCCTTCCACATCACCATATAGCCGTAAACTCCTCTAGATATCCTTCCATCTCCTATCCACAGACATAACTTAAACCAACCACTGCAGTAGCAAGGCCCTACACTACCCACAGTTACTGGACTTACCCCCATCCCCAACACAGTACAGTGCATCTCTATCCCGCGAGAGCGAATACCCACGCCAACCCGACCCCCACAACCCCCACTCACAGATCATCGACACCGATAAACCAAATCAGATATGATATGATCTGGTCCCTCAAAACTAAACAGACTAATAAGATCCCTGGACTGACCCAGATGTAGAAGGAATCGCGAAAATCCACTCTTGTAGGGCGACCAATAGTGACGCGTTGGGGGACGCGTTGAGAGGGTAAGTAGCCCTAGATGGGTCTGGATATTCACTGCTGAGGGGAGTATCGATGATTCTTCTATTGTGGGCGTGGATAGGATAGCAGTATAGTAGTCTTGTTGGTGTGGATGATTAGGCCGTGTATGCTAGTAGGTGGATGGTGAGTGGTGCGGGATGAATGATACTACTTACTAGTTCATATAGTAGTCAACTGATGAACTGGTATCTATAGCAAAGGCTAACTATATCTCATGAAGACTTTGAATGTATAAGATAACTTTGCAGATCTCCATGAACTAAACGTTGTCTGTTGTTTTGATTAGACGAGAACTAATCTTCTACTTTTATCCAAAAGGAAATAAATATAAAGTAATGACATCAGAATCTCAGTCAATATTACATGCAGAAAGTGACAGGATCTGCAAGAGATCTACAGTTCTTTTCTGAAATATTTCCCTTACTGCATTGATGGTTCTTGAACTATCGATTTCAACGATTCCATTTACACCGATGATAGATCAACACAGCCCGATCCAACAACCATAATTGAGGCTGGTGAAACGCCAAGCCCGTGGAACCCATCCAAACCATCTAAATTCCAGTGGACACTAATAAGACTGAAATCGATAGGACAGGATAAGATAAGTCAGTGGAAACCCCTCCGCGTATCTACCCCATCAACAAGGCTGAAAGAGAAAGGAAAAAAGGAATTTAATCCCTACGAGACCCTGCGTAAGTCTGCACAGAGGATATCTGCTTATTTAGATATAAGACGGGAATTAACCGGGAAATACGCAACTAGATAAAAGAAGTGCTTACACTATACAATCTATTCTATTTCAACTAACAATGTGATTGACAGAAAAATGGCAACCTAAGTTTAATGTGAAATATTCAAAAATGCCGGGTTAGTCACCGCCACGTAAAGCCGTACTAAAAATACCCCACGCCCAGCCACGAACTAAACCCGAAGCAGCAGGAATTTACAGGGCAACGCCAAGTAGAACGCGTAGTGCTGTCGCATGTGAGACGACGATAAATATGCGCCGGTGCCTGTCTTCATTCTTTTCTTTGAATATTTGTCGCCGCTTTATATCAAACACTCCTTTCTATCAACCGGCGCGCAACTCGTATCCTAACTTTCGTTAAAAGCTCATCGCAACAACCATGGCGCCTTACTACATGGTCCTCGACCAACGGGCCGTCGATCACCATATAATGAAGCGCGATCTGAGCGTTACGCACGCCCAGGCAGTAACATTAGGCGTGATGGCAGCGTATGTGGTTGTTATCGCGCTGCTTTGGAATTTGCCGTATGTGCGGTGGTCGTTGTGGCCGTTTAAGGTAACCAACCCCGTCACCCACTCTCTCCCTACCCTGAAATCATGCTAACAAAGGATAGATGCTAGTAATCGCCTTCCATGAATTCGGCCACGCCATAACAGCCTGCTGCACCGGCGGGCGCGTGAAATCCATCTCTCTCGACCCGCACGAAGGCGGCGTCACGCACATGCAGGGAGGAATGAGCGCCGTGACATTACCGGCTGGATACCTCGGGTCGTCGATTATCGGCTCGCTGTTGATTTTTGCCGGGTTCGATATCGTCGCGAGTAAAGTCGCTAGTATTGTTCTGGGAGTGTGCTTTTTGCTCACGCTTTGGTGGGCACGGAGGGATTGGTTGACTATTATTACTATTTTGCTGGCGGTGGGGTTGCTGGTCGCTTGTTGGTTTATTGCGCATGGGGAGGCGTTGAAATGGGTTGTGGTACGTTCCCTTTCTTCTTTTTGTTTTGTTCATTGTATTAGGACGGTGTGCTGACATGTGGGATATAGCTGTTTATTGGGGTTATGTCGGCGCTTTATAGTGTTTGGGATATTGTGAGTTCTCTTATACCTTTCCTTGTCATCTTTGATGGTGGTGGTGTGCTAACTGCAATGTATAGTGCGACGACCTAATCCTTCGCAAAGTCAACACCTCCGATGCTAGCCAGTTCGCTAAGAGATACGGAGGATCCTCGCAGTGCTGGGGTGTTATCTGGTCGTTTATTTCCCTTGCGTTCATTGCGATCGCTATCATTGCTGCGATTGCTGCGTTCCGTGAGTCGTTCAGCGAGCAGGAGAAGGATTCGCAACATTTCATCCCGACTCGGTGATCGACTGATTAGCTTGATTTACGTTTTCTAATGAGGTATGAAACGTGCAGTCATGATGGGTAATTGGCCTGAGGTTGAGGATTGGGGTTTTCGGCTAATGTGATACCACTTTGTTTTTGTTTTGATCATCTGCTGGCAGATAAAATGTACTAAGATTGAAGTAACTCCGGACCAATGCTAGGATTGTTCGTGCCCATGACTAACCCAATCCACCGTAGCCTATTAGTTAAGGCGGGTTTCCGAAAACGGCGTTCTGGCGTCGCTACGGAGGGCTGCAACAACAACTCTGCCCATCCGTTTGCAACATACCATTAGACCGGTGCAACCAATCATTGTCTATCCACGATTTTGTTGGCATTGGTTGACTCAGAAGGAATCATCATCTTCTTCTTCCACTGGATCCCGCTTCAAACGGATCTTCACCGTCTCTGTCCCCTCAGGAAGGTCCAGACTATTGTCATCGCGATCGAAGTAAAGCCTCCAAAGACCCTTCACAGCCTTATCATCATCCAGTCCCAGATCCTTAGCCTCTTGCTCCTTGCGCGCATCGTCTGGCAATCGCACTGCCAGCCATCGCTCATCCCCCTCCAAGGTGACATATTCTTCGTCTTCCGTCCAATCGAACGGACCACACACGTTCTCCTCGCTATCCTTTCTGTTCCCATAGCTTAATTGCTTGGTCTCTTTGTCCAGATACACCCACCGCGCGAGAGGCGGTTCTTCCGGGCTCATCGAGATAAGGCCGGCCGAGTTATCTTGTCCGAAAGCTGGGTGCGTGTAGTACTGTCCAGTGAATGGGGCCATGCTAGGACTTGGTTGTTTGACAATGTAGATCTAACACATTTAGCAACCTATCATGCGAAAATCCCCGCAATTGTATGTCATACGAACCTTATAGTCCTTGTCCAGATACACTTTAGCATTGTGGACCTGCTGTCTCTGAGTCGGCGAACCCGTGGTTTCCTCGCAAGTGGCTATCAGATGACATCGTCGTGATCGTGACTCGGCTCTGCGGCTTTCCTCCTGATCTCGAGCGCCCTTCGTAGCTTCATTTAGCCCTATGATGGTGGGCACTAACGTTGACATCATGACAAGTGAGAATACCATACTGGGCAGCTTAGCTTGTGGCGGTTTGCTGGTTGTTAGAATATAGACGTAAAGCTTTTATGAAAGGATCATAGACTCTGAGTAGGAACATGGTCTAGTTCGGCTGCAACTTTCATATATTCTCGGGCACCCCGGTGAGGCCCGTCTGCGGAACTACCCATTGCATTCCATCGCCTCGGTAGTGCCGATACGACGTTGGATGACATCTTGGATGCCGCTTGTGCAACAAAGTTAGGGTGTATGTGAGTTGCAATTTCGCCGGATGCGGAAGACTTCTTGCTGGAACCGGCATCATGCGGATATCAGATCGGTAGATGGATTTTTAAGCTCACCGGTGTCCATTACATCCCACCATGTAATGCGGCGAACCTAATCGTGGATAAAAGGGTCCTCCCGTAACTCTCGGAATATGGGCGACAAAGGTTCAGAAGACATTGCCATGTAAGTGTGGAAGGTTCATGTCAAGTTAGCTCTCCCCTTAGCTCCCACTGTCAAGATCGCTCGTGTCATAAGACGTTTGGCTAACATATCTTCGCAACCTTGAAGCGAACAACCACCTGGAACGTCAAGCAGCCCAACAGAAAGCTTGCCTGCCTCTCCCAAACCACCAAAACTCAACAAGCAACGGAAGTCGAAGAAGCTTTCAAGTCCGCCATCAGAAAGTGTAAATTCACCACAGGGAGACCAACAAAGACTTGGAAAGAGCCTACAGGCGCAAGGGCTCCCTAAGGAATCGAACCCACCCACGAAGCCAAAAGTAGCCCCAGCCGATCAAGGGGGTGATAAAATTAATTCTCAAGAGGAACCGCAAGATCCAGGATCAAAGATGCCCGACCCAGTAGGAGACGTCGGTAACGTGACAAAGGCCGTTGGCGACCAGGGCGTCGGCGACAAGGCCGGCGACGTCAAGAACACCGTCAAGGAGATTACCACTGGTGGTATGAACATGAAAATTGACGATCCGGACTTGCAGTGGGAGACTCCGGAGAAGAGCGGCAGCTTGCAGATTAGAATCCGACTTAATTTGCGTGCGAAAGTGCAGCTTAACCTCGATGCCAGAGTTAAGGGTGAGGTTGTTATTGGGCTTTTGTAACCCTTCGGGTTGGTTTCCATGCTATTCGAAACAAACTCTAGCCTCACCACGCACATAATACATTATATAGTAAAATGATGATCATTGACTTACTGCTCCGTGGGTCCACCATGTAATTTTTAGAGGATCCATAAATGATGTAACTCAGGGTTGTGGCTGGCAAGAGCCCACAACAGTATTTCTGTAGGCCTGTCGGTTTCTGGAAGACTATAGCACGGTGGCCGAAGTATCAAGTGCCAAGTCCCAGTATCCAAGCTGGCTGAAGAAGCTTTCAATATTGAGGTCATTATCAATTCCAGAGGGAAACGGAAACGGTGTGCTGGTTGGCATCTGCTGTACTGCAGTATCTAAGATTGCTGGTTCGCCGTTTGTTGGGTCGATTATCTCGTCTAGGATACGGGACAGAATCCCATGTGCCCGTCTGCAAGTTTCACAGTTCACTTCTCTTCGATTGATGCTCCTTTGAAGGTTCGAGATAAACACGGCCAGGTTTTGTATGACCTCGGCTCGAGGAACCACATTGATTTGGGGATTCGGAGTGTTGAATGAAGGGTGCAGGTGCTTCAATAAGTCCACTGCCAGGATACTGGCTCCTGGTAACCCGTAATAGAGCATCTGGAACAGACTCAGTTGTGTATAGAACAAGAGGAAATATAAGCACCTACGGGCCAGGATATATCTCGCTGCATGTTGGAGAACTGATCAGAGAGCGACACTACCTGCAAGACTGTGTTCAACAGTGACCTTGAGATCCTGTACAGGTGCTCTCGCGTCCATTCCGTCGTCTCATTCAGGAGTTTTCGATGCAATAAGAAGCAGGTGTATTTCTGATCCATGTAAGTAGTCATCACAACATACCGCTGAGGAGGAGGTATGTGCTGAGACCCTGTGACTTCGTCATACTTGAGTTCTGGTGGAATCTGGTCCCACGCAAGTTCCTGTCGGGCCAGTATATCCCTATCGAGTTGTAATTAGTGAACTAGACCGTTCCCGAGATCTGAGGGTACTCACCTTGCCAGAGCCTCACTGCCAGTAGCGAAACGCGTCCCTAGACATAGACCAAGTATTTCCTCCCGAAACTGGCTGATAATCAGCTTCATCCGCCTCCAGGTCGCACCACGGAACTGACGATCCATATTCCATCCGTTCGCATCGACACTGCGCAATACCTCATCCAGTTCCTCTCCGTCTAGCAGAAGTACCTCATCGTCAATATCAGCGGGCATGGTATTGGCGCAGTAAGATCCCGAAATTCTGGGTGGGCGGCCGAGGAAAGTACTGATTGTTTTGTCCATTGAATATATCTGGGCTGCGTATCTCCTTCTCAACTCAACTTGATAGAAAGGATATGTTGCCTCAAGTCTAGAGTCCTCCTGGTGAAGCCCAAGGGCGAAGAACATGCTTGAAACATCGCCCATGCAGCGCCATAATTGGAAGCCTATGCAATCAGCTTGGACTTTGTGTGATACAGTATCGTGTCAGTCGGGAGCACTTACTCATGTCACCGTAGACCAGGTTCTTCAAGCAGGCATTCCCATAAAGTAACCATAGGGCCTGGGGGCTAACACAATTGCAGTTGTTGCAAACAGACGTACAATAATCGACGCCTTCAGCGAGACGATGAATGAAATCCGGCTTCTGGTCAGAATGTGAGGTTGTCGAAGGTTTGGTTCGTTTATTGACATCGTATTTAAGTGATACACCAAGAATGGCAAGGACAAAGCCGATAATTTCCCATCTGATATTGGGCCCAGTGAACAAGGTATGGTAGGCCTTCGCCGGCACACTGGTAAAGGCATCCAAAGGCTTGGCAGTGTTTGCGAACAGAGTCACGACAAGTTGCTTCAGACGATTACCCCTTGATCTTTGCATCGTTTCCTGTATAGATTCGATACAAGCTTTGATAAAAGGATGCGGCACCATGCACGTATAGGAAAGCTCGAGGTATTTGCAAATACTGTCTGCAAACCCTGGAAACTCAGACAGCAAATTCAACACTTTAGTGCCCTCCGATATCTGTTTCTCTGTATACTTATCCTGATGGTGTCGATGGTCTGCACTAGAAGAAAGCTCCTGAGCGGGAAGCTGCCCCAGATAGCGATCAACAACATTCTGGTCATCACTGATAATTGCCGGGAAGGCTGTCGAGCCGAAGAATTGAGTTTCTGTGCAAGGAACGGTTCTAGTTGTCGATGACGAGGATATGCTCTCCCTTAGTGGGTTAACACGAGTAGGCACGGAACTTAGGCCTGAGGAGCCCAAGGACCGCCTTTTCGACCGTCCAGATTGGAGCCTATCGCGCGGTTTGGTCATTGGGGCAGGATGATAGACACAGTTATTTTCTTTCTGACGAACGACACATCTGTCGCACACGGGGGTTTTGTGGTCGCAGCGGATCTTTGATATTCGACAAGGCTCGCAGGAGCAAGGCTTTCCATTGCGTCTAGTTGAAATTGAACGCCGAGAAGTCATATCGAATTACTTAGCTCAAATTGCCATAAATCCTCGAAAGGCGAGAAGGATCACTGGGTTTCACCAAGAATCGAGCAGTTGAAAGAAGACTGTTTTCCTTTGGACTGGAGATGATGATGCCAAGCTGTATCAGTCCAGGAGACGCAAACGCACGAGCACAATAGGCATTGCTCCACAAGTAAGAAACCAGGTAACTTCACGGTCGCCAAATACAGTGGTGGATTTCAATTGGTCACATGACGGTACCCCACTAGGCAGATAAGCCTTATTTTCAGGGACAGGCAAACTTTAGCATGAAGGATGCTTCTATTGTAATGAATAACCTCCCTCATGCAGTTTCTTCTACGTATGAATCGGCGCATACCAGAGTACTCAGGTGCCAAGCATGAATGGAGTTTCGTTCCTGCTCTCAGCCAGTCGATCGATTTATCGTCTCCAGCGGAAGGTGTGGGGGCTACCCACCGTACGCATCCATCAAGCTGGATGGGGGGACATGTACAAACTTAAAATAATATTAAGATTAACCAAGACATAAACCCCACAATTCGCTCCTGAAGCCAGACTCGCATTATCAAATTGTATATACATGACCCCTTTCCTCTACTTTGGTTGAAGACTGAAGATACTACTACTATGTAACGGCTTATATTCGGCCGAGGATGTAGCTAGTGCTCACTGATTTAGTACTGGTTATTACTCTACAGACCAAATGAAGCGAGGAAACATCATGCAATGAACTTTAGATAAACGATACGTATACAACAATCCCAAATGAGATACAGACCTGGGTTTATTCACAGTGGCAGCTGCAGGCTTTTGGGACACATCTCCTGATTTTCAACAACTCAATGCAGCCCTCATCGCAATTTCCAACTTCTTGATGGCGTCATCAGATATCTGATAATGCACTACCAACCGTCCTTCTAAGCGCTCTTTCTCGTGCACCTTGAGCCCTAGCTCTTTTGCTACTTTTTGGAATGCTTTCTTGTCGACATTTCCATCGTTCAGGTTCATCCACATCATGTTTGTCTCTGTGGGTCTTAGCAAAGACCCACCTAGACGTTCCCACATTGTAGAGATATATTTCGCTCTCTCTTGACACCGTTTCAGCTTGCCCCCTAAGAACACTTCCTCGAGTGCAACGCACATCGGCGCCGAAATGATCCCTGTTTGGCGCAGTCCACCACCGAGCAGCTTACGCATCCACCTTGCCCTTGTGATGAATTCTGTGTTTCCTACAATCACAGATCCGATGGGTGCTCCCAGACCCTTGGTGAAGCACAGCGAAACGCTGTCAAAGCAGGCACAAAACTCACTAAGAGCACCTGCACCTGCAGCGACGGCCTCCCAAAGTCTTGCTCCATCGAGATGCATGTGAACCGGTGGGTCTTGGGTCTTAGCCCACAATGAGATATCTCGGATTTCGTCAAGGGGCATAATCGTTCCGAAGAGGGTGTTCTCGAGGCTTATAACGCGAGTGGGGCAGTCATCTATGCACGCAGTATTAGAAAAAGTAAATCAACACGTCATCTCACTCACAGATATCTTTCTTGAAGACAAAGTGCTTCTTGATGTCTTCCAGCGTCAAATGATGGCCATTTGCTGGGATGACACCGTGGATTAGAGCGCCACAAACAGTCGCTGCCCCACCTGCCTCCATGTTCAGGATATGGCTGCGATGGTCTGCAAGGATGGAGTATGGTGGGGTGGTGAGAGCCGTCCGGAGTGCCACCTGGTTGCTCATAGTTCCCGAATAAGTAAGGAGCGCCCTTTCATGGCCTGTCAACTGAGCCATCCACTCCTGGAAATAGTTAGTGGTTGGATCCTCCATCATCTCATCGTCGAGAAGTGTTGTGTTGACGATGGATTCGAGCATGCTCATATTTGGGGAGGTAACAAAATCAGACCGGAAGTCGTATGCGGCTCGACCGGGTGTACTCCAGTTGTTCTGTGGGAGGCCGGTATCATGGACCTCCACTGGGTGTTCGGTCTGACGGACAATAGTCATGGCTGCGTACGGTGGAAATTAATCTCTTGTAAAAGAACCCTCGGAGCTCTTTGGTAATAGTAGTGAGGATCAAAAAGATGTACATCGTCGCTCATTTATTTATGTCGCTGTTGGGCAAAGTACATGTCGGCTTTTTATCTTCGGCACCTGTTTGGAGCTATTTCTTCCCGAAAGCTTCACCACAATCACGTCAGAGCCTTGGGGTCTTTTCTTATGCATGTAATGCATGTAAGAAAAGCGACGCGTCAGAAAAGAAGTAATCCTGCACGTAAGAAACAGCTATGCATGTAAGAAGATATGCGGCGTTGAAGCAGGACTCGGAGTAGCTATTTCGATCTTCCTCCGCTGCAAGGTCATACATGGCGTATCAAGGTTTGATACAATGGCCCAATATGGCTAAGCCGTGGTAAGGCGCCATGCACATGTCCATCAGAGTCCGATGCTATGTGAGCAAGTCACCTTGGCTTCAAGTGAATGTCTGACAGAGTCTGGGGTTTCCGATGTCTCCATGGAGTAATAACTGAATCACACAATCGGAGTAAACAGGGAAAGTCACCAATACCCCCACATTAAGCTCGAGCCAATATCCAGAATACCGAAACTCTAAGGGGTTGGTAAGGCGAGGTCATAGTACAACGGCGAGCGAGAAATTTCGCTCAAAAGAGGGGTAATAGCAGTTGGGACATATATAGGGGTCGCCTGAGCAGTCAATCTTGATGGTGTATGTCACCGTTCGAATCAACGAAACCTCCGTCCTCTGCCAACTTCACATGTTAAACGCAATGTCATCTCATCGGAAGGATAACATCGGCGAACTCATCGAATTCGCTCGCTCTCATTCCCCCTTCTACCAGCGCGTTCTTGAACATGTTCCGGCAGGCGCCAAAAGTGTTACTGACCTTCCTCTCATCGACCCCGACGAATACTGGAGAGCAAACGCGTCCAATCCCAATGGAGTGATGACTCGGCCCCTCATTGATGGCACAGTCATGCGCAGTGGTGGTTCCACTGGCACTCCCAAGCAAGTTGTCATGACCAAACAAGAGCTGTCAACCCATGGCAAAGTCACCGCCAATGCTATGGCTCATGGCTGTGGCTTCCTCCCTGGCGACCGCGTGGCAAACATGTCCTTCCACGGCTCCTTATATGGGAGTTTCATGCTCTTGAATACAGCACTCCTCGAACTTCCTATTCCAATTGTCCACTTGCCTATTAGCGGAAACGAATCAATTGACATGATGGCTCATTACATGAAGACCTTTGAAGCTACTGTTCTCATTGCCAACGTTTCAACCACACGTCGACTGGCGGAATACTTCACTTCCATTAACGAGACTCTTCCCAGTCTTCGGCTGATTTTGTACACGGGCGAATGCTTTACCAAGGAGCTCCGTCCGGTTTACCGTGCAGCCTTCCCGAACGCCACCATTTACGTCCGCGAATACGGTGGTATCGATTTTGGACACGTGGGCATTCCAGCGCAGCCATTCAAGCACGAAGATGATGACATCAAACCAGTCTACAAAGTCTTGGCGCCCTTGGTCATCTTTGAAATCTTGGATGAGAATGGCGATCCAATTACTACACCCGGAGTTAGGGGGAACGTGGTGATCACTAGCCTGTTGAAGAGGCAGCAACCTTTGCTTCGCTACCCTGTTGGTGACATTGCTTCTTGGGTTGATTACGATGCGGAAACCTTCTACGTCCATGGCCGAGATGCTGTCAGCATAAAAATCGCTACCACACATCTACCTGTCGCGTATCTTAGAGAATTGATCGTGAGGGTCCTTGGCCAAGGAAAGGCATCAGGAAGCCAGTTCGTTGTCCGGCTTCTGAAGGAGACACACGAACAGGCGCTTGTCTTGAGGATCGTCGCGCCAGAGCCAGAGAACACATCCGACCTAGTGACTGCTTTTGAAGAGATCTTATGTGAGGAGAGCCCTACCTGGAAGAAGAACAGGAAAGTTAAAAACATCGCCCCGCTGCAGATTGAGTGGATCGAGGGCAAGGATTTGATTACGAATGCCGGCAGCGGGAAGTTACGCGACATTGTTGATGAGCGGTTTTCGAATGGGGTATGAAACGTCTACGTACAATTGTCATACTCTGCCAAGAGTGAGGGGGTTAGACCGCAGCATGACCTAGCGATAAAATAGCGAGATATATCGATCAACAACTGTAGTGTTGCCAAAAGTACCCACAAGGAATTCCTCTCTTCAGTATTTCAGAGATTATAGGCTAATACAGGCCAATAACCAGTGTCGCAGACCCTTGTTTTGGACGGGCTAGCACTTACACTTCGAACCTTACCATGTAGGACGGGTCTGAAATGAGAAAGTCCCCGTTGCTTTCCCGGAAGGCCAGATCAAGCAATGGGTGAATCCTTTTAGCCAGTGCTTGTTTACTTTCCTCAGTATGGACCCTTAGTCCACAGTAGCCTAGACACTTGCTACCAAAGGCCACATAACCATTTTCCCATAGCCCTACCCCGCTCCTGCCGCTCCGGCCTGGCTCGCATCCTGAATCCTCTTGCCTCTGTTCAATTATCCGGAGAATATCCTGGTTCTACATTAACTATTTCGCGTGGCCGATCACAACACCAAACTCGGATTATGATGCTACTCTTCATACCTGCCTAGCATGGGCAAAGCAAGTGGCAAACTCTCATCCAGATGACCTCCTATTGTGCTCAGCAACCTTATGAGCCCAAGGTTGGATCTCTTTAGATGAGATAAAATGACGCGATTTTAGCGGCGGGTTCAACCGACAAAATCACTATAGCGACGATCCTTTTCTCTGGTGGTGAATAATACGACTGATTCACTAAGGCGACAACCTCGGACCGGCTGCATCATGCAAGGGTCGTATGAAGCGGAGGAGCAGGGTCATCTTGCCTAGGCACGTGCTGCGGCCAGTCACTGGCGCACTAGGTACGTTTCCCTGCTATGGGAATTATCCGAAATCTAGATTCACAAAGACTGGGCTAATATAGATTTAGTCTAGTCGAACGTCCCTCTGCTGCAATTTGCGCTAACGAAAAGGGTCCTGCTCGGATAGATAGTACTTTGTCACGATCAGCCGGAAGACGGCAAGACTGCCAAGCGGTTGACGCGATTTTCTCAGCAAGGCGCTCAGTCTTGCCCACCATCACCGGAGTAGATACGCAAATAGGTGTACAAGATACTAATTTTGCGGCAGGTGGGGGCTTTTTTCATGCCGCTAATGAGTCCTGACTGTCTAGACCGCGCTAGTATTGGCTGATCTAACGGGGAAAGGGATCTGGGCAACTATCTGGAATGCTCCCCGGTTTTCGAGTCGCGCCAATCAATGCGGCTTTCTCACAGTACTTGAGGAAACGTGCCAAAATTTCTCCCCGGTGTTGCTGGGAGATAAAGATTATCGAGATTCTCATTACGCATCTGCATTTATAACGCTATGCGGCTCTTCATGAAGAGTGCGCTGTTATCACCTCGCATTGGTGCTTACTGATTCATGCTCGTCACTCTTTGAGGGAATGACTACTATACTCAAGGGAGCATCCCATTCAGGTTTCGGCCAAGTCCGAATCTTTACCAATGTTTTCATTAGATGGGACATCAGTTCACTGATCGCTGTTCTGGAATTAGGGAAGACTTCGGCTCAATCCATGCGGATAGGGTTCTCAGGCCAAATGGTAGTATTGTACATTTTATGGAAGCATATAAGCTGTTCAACGTAGATAAAGGCTGACTAGCTTCAGTTTAACTTTCACCGGATGTGTGAGGGCAGAATGTATTCTCTGTTTCAGAATATGCCACTGACGTTGTAGATGAACACATCCTCTCATTATCCAGCACTCATGGTTTCCACGCCCTCAAAGGATTGGGATCACATTCCCAACTCTAACAGGATCTACAAATGCCCCAATACGCTAGTATGATTACGCCAAGAAGTGCACATTAAAATACTAGCTTCGTCGAGTATTTCTTTCTTAGTCCTACTGCTTGAGGATGGCTAATATGTAAGCTATATGGAATCATCACGAACGTCAGCAAGGCTGTACTTACCTTTGTTTTCATACAGTCTTTAAGCTCAATAATAGTATGCGAACTTGACTTCTTTATCATTCTAATCCTACGATGAACTCGTTTATGGGCCAAAATATATTGGAGATCAGAGAACAACCATGTCCATCCCAACGGAAACGAATCCAAAACCGTATGGCTCAGCGGAAATTTCGTAGGTCAACACACTGTATAGCATTCAAGGTTCCCGCTAATGATTTCTTATCTGCATATAGGCGAAAAAGCAAAAGCCCGGAAACAATCACATCCCCCATACAATCAGACGAGTGGTATTGGTAATGGAAAAAGCCACGATGGACCCTCGAATCTGCCGTCTTCAACAATAGACCCAGAGCCCCACGATAACGGGTATGCGTGCTTGACGTCGGATAATCATCTCGGACCTTTGTCTGCATTCACCTGCAGCATGCTAGGCATCCCAGGCCAAGATGTACAGTACAACCAGAACACTTTCGAAGGTGCTGCTTTCACACTTCCGGAGAGTATCAAAGATACGCCACATAGTTTGCAGACATCAAATGTTGAAGAGCAATTACGGGCTTTCAGGTTCGTACAATTCTCTCCCCAAAAGCGGAATGATAAAGGCGGAGACTATCGCATCTTTCGATGAGTACCGAATTGCTTACGGTTCCTGAGCCGAGACGTAGGCCTTGTCCTCCTACCGAAGTTGATTTCGGTATCCTAACCGATCCCGAGCTTGCATTCTTCGGAAACGTGCAAGACCAACAGAAAGGGCAACGTCCAGTAGAACGGCATAGGCACAGATCTGCAATTGATAGTTGTGAATGTGACCGTGTACGTATGTCCTCAACTAGTATGTCTATTATGGGACTAATCAGACTATCAAGGGACTTCTTGAAACACCGAAGCACGCCCACCGAATTGTTCAATATCAAAGAGCCAAGTTATTAGACCAAGTTGAACAGCTTCTCGACAAAGTTGAATCTCTATACGATGTCGGCATCTCTCTTGAAGTTCTGGTGGACAACAACCATCTTCGAGATCTTCTTCAGAGAGCGATGGCTGGATTTCGTTCCCAGCGGGATTCGGAAACACACAATCGTGGTGATGAATTTAGTTTAATAAAATAGGAGGCTATACAGCATATGGTTGTTTACAGTTGATAGTTGTACTCAGATTCCGTAGCTAGTGTCTTCAGATGAATAGTTCCTAGTGCTCAATTTCTGATTCATTGCCTACACTACGAGGCCCTAACATTATTCCGAACGTTTGAGCTAGAAGCCCGTGGGCCTTGAAGCAAGAAGTTTGCAGTCTGTAAACTACCTGAAATATCTTACTTTTTTGGCGCTAGAATAAATATTTAGCGACTCTGCTGGCTGTAGCATGGGATGCCTTTCTGAGTATCTATGATGGATTCCGAACCCAGTCTTCCAAGCATATCTGGGCCTTCCAAAGGCATCATCTCTGGCTCTTATTCAATTATCGTTCCTCAAAATGTGGACCAAGACCTTAAAACAAGCGGAACTACTTTCCAAGCAATAACCTGTTCTTAGTGATGCGCTAACTTTGGTGGGGTTTACTCAAGGAATTAATCCAGCCTGATCGGAATAAAATCGTCGTGGTTGAACTCCGAGCATGCACATTTCATTCCGACGGAGTAAATCGCAGCTCGGAGTTCGATATCCACGCACAACCATTGAGTTGCCTCGTCGGATCTCTTATTCTGACTATTAAATTTGGAGTTTGTTTTTTTTTTTTTTCAATGTTAGATCTTGAAATTTCACTGGAGCAGAAATACCTTGCTCGCGCTAACTTGTTTGATTATCGTTCATTTCCGTCTTCATTTATCGGCTCCCTGTTGAAGGTTCAGTTTTGAGGTTTCAGAAGAAGAAGTGAGCGCCCAGGAGTCAATAACAATGGGCCAAGATGAAGAAATTGTCAAGGGAGAAGAGTGTACGAGTGATATCGTTCTCGATGATAAACTTGTAAGTGTGGAAAAGCTCTGGCCATACTGAAGACATTATATTGACGACTATAAGGTCACCTGGGACGGACCCGACGATCCAGAGAATCCAAAGAATTGGTCTACTCGTCGGAAGTGGCTAGCAGTCATCTCAATTTCAGGCTTCGTTCTGATGAGTCCGCTTCCAACCACTATTGTCTCTCCGGCAATAGACACCATTGCGGAAGAGCTCAATGTCACAGTGACAGTTCAGAAGCCTATGGTTATGTCTATATTTTTACTTGGCTATGCCATTGGGCCCATGTTTATCAGTCCCATGTCTGAGATTTGGGGGCGAACACGGGTACTCCAGACATTCAACTTTGTGTTTCTGATCTTCAATACTGCATGCGGTGTTGCGAGAAGTATTGAGCAATTACTTGCCTTTAGGTCCTTTGCTGGACTTTTCGGAAGTTGTACTGTTGGTGTAGGTTACCAATGCCCCCATATTCGTTTCTGTGATTCTTAGCTTCAACTATAGATCGGAGCTGGAACTCTCGGAGATTTGTTCAATGCCAAAGATCGTGGTAAAGCCATGGCAATCTACAGCATATTCCCTCTTATGGGACAAGTCCTGGGCCCCATTGCGGGTGGGTTCTTAACAATGCGCACATCCTGGCGTTGGGCATTCTATGCGACTTCTATCATAGACGGCTGCGTCCAGCTCTTCGGCCTTCTCTTCCTCGACGAGTCATACACGCCAGTTCTTCTACGCAGGAAAAGAGATCGCCTCGCAAAAGCAGGAGCCACAGGCCTCTACACAGAACACGACTTTCCCAGTGACTCCAAACTTGACATGATGCGAACAATCATGATCCGCCCCATCAAACTCCTCTCAACACAACCAATAGTGCAAGTCATGGCATTATATCAAGGCTACCTCTACGGTAATATCTACATTCTCTATTCGTCCATCGCCATCCTCTGGACAACCCGCTACCACGAGAAACTAGACATAGCATCACTCCACTACCTCGCACTGGGCCTAGGAACAGCCTTCGCAGCAGAAGTAGCAACGCACATTAATGACCGCATATTTCGAATTATGACCAAACGGAACGGCGGCAAAGGCCTGCCTGAGTTCCGCATACCCATTATGATACCAGCCACCGTTATCCTGTCCATTGGTCTGTTCTGGTACGGGTGGAGTGCGGAAGCCCGTATGTTCTGGCTGATGCCTGATATCGGAATCGCACTATTTGCGGCTGCAGCGTACATCTGCACGGTCTCGAATAACATCTATGTCGTGGATACGTACGGCCGATACTCTGCTAGTGCGCTTGCTGCGACGTCAATGCTCAGGTGTCTGGCGGGATTTGTGTTTCCGTTGTTTTCTCCATATGCGTGAGTTTCTCTCCTCCCTGCGAGTAGAGCGGCATTGCTGACAATAGCACAGATATGAACGGATAGGGTATGGTTGGACTTCAAGCATACTGGGTATCATTGCACTGTGCATTGGTTTGACGGGAGTTATATTCATCTGGAAGTTTGGGCATGTATTAAGGAAGAAGAGCCCTTACTGTGCTAGTCGTGATGTTGATGATTGTTGATAGAAGAGGGTCGTCGCTTCCCGCACCGACTGCAAGTAGAGTTTACGATATATCAACCCACGTAATCATTCACTTCGCTATATACCTAAGTAGTAGACGTTTGAAAAGTGCTTCTTTCCGCTTTTTAGAGCTGGGTAGCAAGGACGTAGAGCCAGAAGCCCACGAATCGAATAAAATAGATGCGTGACGCGGAGGCCACCTTCCCTAAATCCGCATTTCCGGGTACTTTCAGACAAACGCCGTGGCTTCTGCCCTCTACTTAATCTTGCCGCGTCTCACTCAACTCATCACGGGAGCGATCATACCTTTTTACATTCGCTATCATGCTCCAGTAGACACATGAAAGCAACATTATTGACACCTAGCTGTTATCATAACGCCCGGTCATGGCAGATCCCGAGACAGGCGGACTAGTCATAGACACTCCCTCGTCCACACAAGGACAAGACCTACCAAAAACTCCATCTTGCGTTATATGTCACCTAGTGGTTCAGTCACCTAGTGGTTCATGTGGTACGTTGAGTACAATGTTCCATGGGAAGCATTGATACATATGCTGTATGAACTGCATTATCGCGTGCAGGAGGAGGAAACGAGGAACGCGTGGTATGTCATTAATCGCATCTATAGCCGACACCATCGGGAGAGTATGGGTCAACAGAAGACGGCATTTTCTACTGTCATTCAAGACCTCATTTGAAAGCCTGGAAAGCGCATAACGAGGAGCGAGCGCTCCGCAATGCGTCTTCGCTCCCTTGCCCTGATCTAGTTTCCAAGAGATTGAAGGCAAGAGACGGGAACGAATTCAATCCCCAGATGACTCTGGGCCCAAGTAATAGACACCTAACAGGCCAGGATCGCTTGGGAGGTCAGACTAATGACCATACTTCCAGGAAGGGACCTGAACTGCACGGTCTCGATGAACACAATTCCATTGATTCTACTACAATGGATTGGAGTCAATGGGACAGCTTCTTAGAACAATTTCAACAGGAGTCTATTAAAGAAGCGTTCTAGTCAGATGATAATGAGTGGAGAACTCGCTTGACATGTGCCGAAGCAATACCTGAGACTTCATGCCTATGACTGCACTAGGCAATAGCCTCGCCTGTCAAATGTGGCTGGCAGCTCCCAACCTCAGCATATGCCAACATCTTGATTCTTCTGCAGCATGCACTGCAGTCTCCATCGCATCAGCTTCCTGGGTCCAGCCCAAGCACCATTCTGGCAGTGCCGATACCGCCAGCTATACAGCAAACTCTCCAATGGAAATCTCTAATAAACAAAACAACCAGTTCTTCCAACTATCCAATCCGCTGCTTGCGTCTCACCCAAACCTCCTTCTCATCCGTTTCCCCATCCTTCGGAGCAGGCACGTCCCGCAACTGTACCTCCCAAACCTTAAGCTTGTAATTCCCGCGATCAGCCTGTCCAGAAAAGAGATCAAACGACCAATCGTGCTTAGGGCATGTTATACCCGCACTCAGGGTGATTCCAAAATCCTCAATGTCAAACAGACTTCCCTGCGACAGTGGAAACGATGAATGCGGACATTGCTATACCCGATCAGCTTTCCACACCAATTTCCATGCCAATAATGGCTACTTAGCTAAGACATTTCACTTACATGATCAATAGCATGCATCTTCCCCTTATACTTAAACACAAGAACCTGATCCTTCAAATCCTCCAGCGGACCATCAATCTCCGCTTCCACAGGGGCGGAACTTGAGCCTGGTGTGGGTGTCTTCGGAATCGTAAAAGCCTTGCATTGCGATGTCACCCGACAATCGCCATTGTTTTCTGGAGAGTCTACATCAGGGAAGTCGGAGGTGAGCCCGATGCGCTGCCAGCCGCCTTTTCCTCCGCTTGTTTGGGATCGGGAGAAGAAGGTGAACATGGTTGGCTGGTTTGGGGCTTAATGTGGAATATATTGCATGGAAGGAAGGGGGAATTTGATGTGCTGCATGGATTGCATCGGATCGGATATCGTGGAGAAAACGGCTAATGTTGTTCCCGCTTGGGTTGTGTGGGGCGGGAACTTTCTATTGGGGTTGGTTGGTTGGTGAGTCGGATATATTCGGATATACGAGTTATGCTGGGTATGGGGCACTACGAGAGGGTGTATACAATTGAATTGAGAGCTGTTGGGTTGACTTATCCAATGTATTGAATTATAAGATTCCTTTCCAGCAGCCATTGAGTATTATTATGCCATGAGAGCATGTACTAATACGAGTGCTAGCGATAGATTCCTATCCCGAGCGCAACGACGATGTAAGTATATCTTGCACAAAAGTCTCTTATGTACCACCAGCTCCCATAGCATCCCAACAATTACCAAGTCTATACTAGATGCATGACTAGCTACTAGGAGTATCAACCCAATCGAAAAGAAAAATGAACTGAAAGCCCACTCTGAGCTCAAACAACGCAACACTATCTGGCCCAGAGATACCGGGGGAGCAGGACTCGAACCCGCGAAGAGATGGCCCTGCTTTTTCCAAATTCTCATAGCATAAGCCCTTTTTAAGTGCTTGATTTTATATTCCATGGTTAGTATTCCCACTGCCCTGTTCGCATGGAACGCCTGCACGCTAACCTGTGCCTAGAAAGCGGGCCAGAGGGCAGGGCTCTCCCGGATGATGGAAACTACATCCGAATTTGCAGGCCTCGGACGTCTCCGGGTCGGTCTAGTAACACCTAGCAGCGTTCAATGGAAGTAGGCTTATATATATCCAGGGTTACAACGAGGTGAGCGCGGGGTTTCTTGTCATTTTGGCCACGCGATTTGGGTCTTCACCCGCCCCAGCGACTGCAACAACGGCTGAGTCGCCGGCCCAGATGCTAGCCTGCAAGTCAGACATAGCAGAAAAGATTGTAAGGCGGAGGGGAGTGAGCTCTTGAACAAAGTTATTGAAGGGTGAAAGCAAAACAACCTGAGTCTTCGCAAGGCCATGCTACCCACATCACCGTGGCTATATGCGCCCATAACTACCACCAGTGTGTGCGCAGCAATTAGGTTGGACCATCAATACATCGGCCCAATCATTCCATTTGAATAGCCCATTTAGACTTGATGTAAATGATCTTCTGTAGTGTATAGAAACGGAATGCTTTCAAAGCAAACACAAGTGTTCCTTCGAGATGGGCTGGTGGCATGGGTTATAGGAGCGACAGATGTGGCTAAAATAAATGGCTGATTCCTGGACTGGGACGAGACAACCTGATCATGTTCCACGTTAGGCATTGGTCGTTAACCGGGCTAGTAATTGGTCTTTCTCATCTTCCTGTTTTTCCATCTTAGAATCGTATATGGAGTGTTTGTCCATCGGAGAATGGGCACTAAACCAATAAACGTGGACGTGCCCTGGCTCTTTGGTTGCGGATACTAGGAACATTATGACATTTCCGCGAATAATACAGTGGGATTTCTAAACTGATATAAAGCCGCTGAGTTTAGTAAGCCGTTTAGCAGAATACGCTGTTGGCAAGTTAACTCTGTATCTGTAGGTGCAATGGTCCTGCTAAGAAGGGTAGCTTAGATTTGGAATTGTATGTTGCGCGGCAGGTGACAAGATGATGAAGATGAAGCAGTGGGTCTTTGTTAATCGTCCTGTTCTTTGTTGGCGAGGAGAATAACGCCTGAATATAGGGAAGAAAGCGCATGTGGGATATGTAAAAGTCCGTCGTTTTCTCCATATACTCCTTGCGGAATGTACATCGTTGTAGCAGGTTTAATATTATCCTCGATGAGAATCTGGATTCCCCCTCGACCGAATTGCTTGAATGCTAGTAGTTCTTGTTTGCAGTTCTCAAGCAATGCATGCAGAATAGATAAGTAGTATACTTCTCTCCAGAACGTGCAGATTTATGGGGAGACTTCTTCCCACATACCTCTTCCATGTCTTCTCTAATGTCGACACGATAAGGACCGTATCGTTTCATTGTCATCAGGTTAGGCAATGTCGGTCCATACCTGGTATCTGGCTAATCTGCCCATATATTATTATCGAGATACACGTTTATACGAATTAGCTTCATCCTGAACGTTCTGTGAGGCGTGGCCTTCGTATTGGTAATGTCGAGATTCACGCCGTCATGAGATTTGTATAGTATAAGCTCCCGCGACCCCGAGGACAGCACAGACAGTCAATGGGAGGAGGCAGGATTGGTGATGCTTTTGACACATCTCAGCGCGATCTGCCATATATTGAAGTGGCTTTAAGATCCTTGTTGTCTCTCCAGGTAGCATGTTCTTGAGTTCGTGTACCCAGAATAGGCCCGTTGCATCATTCATTCACGATTCTGTTCGCACGGTGTATGGTTGCGTTGCTCTTAGGTTGAGCCAGTTCGGCGAACGCCTTCACGCCGTGTGAAAAGTTGGACTTCGTTGATAGGTTTTGGTGTCGCCTGATCAATTCCGGCTTTAGTGGCCATCTATTGATTCTCATTTTTTATCTTGCTCTATTCGATGTCTCGTAGAAGTCGCGCGTTCCTCCCTGAAGCCGCATTCCACAAGTCCCGCGCTTCGTTGTTGAAAGATTCCATCGCTTCTGGTGTGTCCAGAATGGTTCGTACCGCTATGGCACACACCCCGGCAACTGAGACAAATTTTGCCGATTCATTACCAGATACACTGGCACATATTCCTCTCCAGTCTGCCCTTGTTCATGGCATTGCAACGACAACACAATAAAGCCATTCGCTGCTGAGCACAACCGTTTGTACTGTAATGCCTCTTCGCCACCCTACAGACAGCCAGGAGAAGCAGGACCGAGCAGGGGAATCCGTTCTCGTTATAAAATGGTGCCACGGGACATAGAGACGATATTCTGCCGAAGTTGCTTATAGGCTCCATTTCACATCAATGTTGTTGATCTTGTATGTGACTGTGGTCTAAACGTTCTAGTTCCGCCCCGGGAGCCTTGACTGAGTCTATCACGAGCCCCTTCACCGAAATATCTACCGTTGTCAATTCACAGCCCTAGAACATGAGCAAGATCATCGCGCTGCCAAATTGCTGGACCATCTGCTTGGCCCACCTCGCCACGACGCTGGTCGAACGAGTCATTGTGTTTCTTCTCTCTTTGGACTGGCTTGGTTTCTGCGGTGTTGTTGGGATTCTGCGACTTGTTGACTGGACCAGGTATATTCTTTGTAAGCTACTAATAGCAAGATCTTGATTTGACGAGATCTGGAAATATTCATAGTAGCGCAACAGATTATATAGTATCAAGACGGGAGAATAGCAACCTGTGGCTGAGTACATGCCTCCTGGTAATCGCTGTGGATTTCGACAGCCTTAACTGAGGAGTTTTAATGACCAAGTCATTTCAGCATACGTCAAGCTGAAGGTTTGGAATTTGTAGATATGCATGCACCCTATAGGCAGTCAGTTTTACTTAATTTCTCGAAGGATATACTGAGATTTCAATTAGAGGAAACTTACCAGGACTTCAATACCATGCATAAAGCAACATTCTCCGAGGGAGTAGCCACGGCGTCCGCATGACTGGCAAACGTTTCTTTTGCGCTGAACAGTTCTCTTAATAACTTGTACAGCCTATAATAAGAATGATTAATAACTTTGATACATACCCTAGATGACGTCGGAATCTATTATGCTTACAATAGATGCCGCGTCATCGCCATATTCCCTCGCATTCCAGGCAGTACGAAGCGGCAGTATCCCATGGTACAACCATACCTACTCGCTGCGCAACGACTGGCCACTTCCAGGCTGGTTAAGGTCCTATATAAGCCGCTCGAGATTGATCAGGGGCATCAGCGCTGCCAGCATTTTAAGAAAAGTCAAGGACGTTTCCTCAATGCAGACGAATGAGCTCTCGGCAATTAACACAGGGATCCCACTGATTCGCCTACACAGTGCCGGATCGTCTGTCATCATAATTCGGGGTATTTCGTAGGTATCGTTTACTTAGGGCTAAGCCATGGGTTGGCACGGCGTTGCACCACAATTGCACAATGCCGGTGCCTGAGCAGTCTGGAGTATGCTGTCCACTCTTCACCTGGTGTCATAGTTGTCGTTTCCATCGGAAAGAATGCAAGCTAGTCGATGCGACAACCGAAAGAATATTCTGGGCGTCTGTCCATGAGATCTTTCTATGTAGAAGAGAAGCAGACAGCCCATTTTCTGTTTGAATGGTTCGAGATACATGCATATCATCGTTCGAGCTTTACTCGGGGTGTAAAGGCCATTCACATTCGTCACTCACATCGATGTGTTTGATCCAGCTTGAATTGCGCGAAGGATACGCAAAACAGACTCTCTTCCACTGCTGGTATTATGGAGTATCAGGTAGCTGCAGTAATCCTGGTAGTCTTTAATATAAGGATCTCAATATGGGAGCCATAAACTGCATGCGCGCTGAGATAATAATTGTTCGGGGCTTGGACAGCTGCAGATCCTTCCACATAAGTCTGTCCGGTGATAGGTCTCTTACCTTATCTCCAGAAACACTTAGTCTTCTACCAGTCACAGACTGCGGAAAGACCATGTCGCTTCTCGAGTGTGTTATAAGTGGTTAACACCACCGAGTATCTGCCATCGAAATCTGGTTAAAACATCTCGTGGTCCTTGGTCAACCGGTTCTTGATGTACAGAGAGCTGCCGGTCTGTGTTCTATTATCACCAAAATAAACGCATATGTCCAGTCTATTAGTTTCTAGAATTCGAAAGGGTTCATCAATCTGGTGAAACGAGAGCTCGTATCAGTGCTGACAGTTGTGAACCAGAATCCATCCGAGTCGATGTCTGAAATCTTTGCCCTAGAATGTCTTCAACACACTCGGTGGCCGTTAACCACGTGCTTGCAATGCAATATTGTAGCTGATTCGTGCAGTTTTGATTATCTGACAAAAGGCCCAATATATTAAAGCTGTACACAAGTAATACGCCAATCTGGCTCTCATGGTAAGCTCAAGTGTGGCATTCCGTATATGGGTGGTGCTAAATCATGCAAAGCCGAGGCTTAGTGTGTTTAAGTGATAAATAGCGTGGGTTTGCATGCGAATGCTTGACATAAATCTTATTGGAAAATGACCAAGTAGTGGGAAAAGCCATTCAATGTAGCAGAGAACTCTTAGGACTAAAACTGTTTTCCCCTTAATGATGCCTATACCCGTCTCTGGTCACTGTCGTGGCAGACGGCAAGGGCATTTTTACGACTTGGTTCGTAGAGTAGCGTCAGACGGCCAGTGGGAACAGCTTTGTGTGGTTGGAAACTTGCTTAACACATTCTTGTCGGTCGAGGTGTTCTTTTCATCCTTCGGGGTGAAGACATGCAGTTGTTGTATACCATGGCCATCATTTCTGGATATCCATTGAAATGCTGATTTCTGCATCTGGCTAAGACCAGTATTGCTAGGAGGCAATTGAGTTAGAACTTGAATGTTCCAGAGGATTCGTTTTCGTGATTGACTGGATCCAGAATGAGAGGCCCGAGGATTGCTCGTATGTATACGTTGTCCGCACAAGGTAGTCATTGAAGGTAGTTGCCACTGCAACTTTTCATGAGGTCCCAGATTAAGATATCCAAATCAGGCCATGCTAGCCAAGAAACAAGCCCTGGTAGATTGAGTCGTGTTTTTTTCTGATGACGGTTCCGGGTCAGTAGACAAACTGGTGTTATGGCACTGCTGGATATCATCTCTCATGCATAAACCACAGGCCAGATCATCGCTTTTCATCCCATGGATTTGCTTGGTAGGAAAATAGTATACTATAAACATACCGGCGTACAAGTCACACTTGTAACGATGATTGTAATGGACAGACGACTGCCACTTGGGAGTTACCATCTGAACCAGGGATGATCTAAACCGTCCATGCTACAGCGCCTAGCGCCGAATCACTGGAAACTGAAGTTGCATCGAGAGCTGTCTCTTCGACCATGATCTTGAGCTTAGAAATTGGTATATCAAACCATATTACCGCAACGGTCGTATTCAGCCCAACCCAAACCAACCCAAGCGGTAGGTGCGCTTTTCCGCAGCAGAAGTTTTCTTGGTAGCGTGCGCCTTTTCCTCCTGCACGGCATCGTCAGTTCTTCATGACTATCCGCTGTTCCTCAGAGTCTTCTGCCCGAGGCCACCGGCAGTTAACACATGACTTGGCAGCGGGGACTGCAGGTTCCCGCCTACTGCTAGATTTATAATGTGCCTTGGCTGGGGCGGTAGTTTGTCGTCCCCGTTTCATCTATGCTGCCATGACGCAATGAATGGCCTTTGACTTCCTCCACAGTATCTCATGCAGGGCGCTGCTCTTATGGATCGGACCACCGCACGATGCCATGTCTGGCATTTCCTTGGGCAGGGGCCCTTCACACAGCCATATTTTTTACTTACCGTGCACCGTTACCAGGTATCTTCGTCGTGGGTAGTCTTTACGCTATTCCTCAGCAAATGTGAGAAAAGCAATACTCGAGGTCTACTTCGACCTTCTAAGACACGGTGTCCTTAGGATTTGTTCAGGACAGACTGACACTGTCCAGGACATGATTCCTGAGCTTATACAGAGTTCCAAGCTCAGGTGGGTTGGAAACTTCCCTAGCCCTTCCCATAATCTCCACGGCGATTAGAGACATGCGAGATAAATCCGGCCACAGACATCATGTTATAGTTGTCATCATCCGGCTGAACGTTGATTGTGGTGGACGAGCCCGTACGCATAAGATTTCTCACACCCTGGTAGCCCTGGAATGGGCAATCTTAAGAGGCGTGATGGTATAGACCAGTCCGTTCATATGCTGCGCCATATGGCTTTCTTGGGACGGAATTAATCAACAGTTAATGTCTAATTGGTGACAATTGTAGCCATGATTCCGTACTTGACGTCTTTACTCCGATCGTGATCGTACGCATCAAAGGCCATTGGTGTGGCAGGTCGAGGATCAGGTATAGAGACCTAGGTAGCAGACACACTTCTACCTTGACAGTTGAGAGAAATTATGATCAATCGGGTGCTCTTTCTGTGGGTACTTAGGGTTTTAGGCAAGCTGAACTGTCCAAAGCGTCAATGAAGTCCTAAGCCGAGTTTAGCATGCATGCTTCTCAGTGGAAGTGGTATTGCCCCCTTGGTCAGACTATTTGGTAACGCCATAAATATAAGATGCGTCATTATGGAGGTTTAACATCCAAGCTTGTTCCAAAGCCCTACCTCGAGATAACTGGCGAAAGTTTGTGGTCTGAGGAGCAGGAGGGAACCCCGATAGGAAATAGACCCGTGTGTATGAAGAAGCGTGCAATCAACCATACCCACAAGACACCTGTTCGACCACAGACGGTGCCAGCCACGTCATTCCCCAAACAACAGACGGTGTCCGACTGGAAAGGACGATACAAAACCCTCCAATATGCGTAGACTCCAAAGACGATGTTGGAGGTGTTGGGGGAAAAAAGGGGTGGGATGAAGGTGTCTTTTCGATCCGTTATGGCAATCACCACCGTCCGCTGGTATCTTGATATTGACAATCTAAAGCTACCCCATCAACTCCGTCGGTGGGGGGCACAGGCTCGTCGGCAGCCGGGATGGAAGAGGGTTCAGAGAGTGCGTCGGCTTCGCCATCGGAGTCTCCTTTCTTCTGAGATTGCAATTGAGCCAGTCTAGAGCCGATGACTTGTCAAGCCATATTCATTCAGTGACTGGGTGAGATTCTCCATTTTCTTCCTACTAGCAAGTTCCGCCACGATGTCCTTGGTCCGTTCCCAATTACTCCAATTTAGGATGCCTCTGCTCCCATAACTTCTTCACCAAGGCCACCTGGGCTTATACGGTGATATGATAAAGACATCGGGACAGCCTCTGTCAATGAGACTTTGAGCCAGTGCAATCCCCAGCTCGGCTTCGCGCGAGTGGTACAAGGATCCAGACGGATCCTTCTTGGTGTCATTCTCGAATTGCTTACGATGAAGTGGGAGAGGCCTGACAGAGCCCATGTTTGCTTTCCAAGCTTGACCAGCAGGGGTTTTTGGTGGTCTACCTTAACAGTCTTGGTGGGCTCGTCCTGTACGTGAGCTACCCTGGAATCCCAGTTTTTGACCTGCTCGTGTCTTCAATACAGGATTGTTCGCTGTGCTCATCGTTCTTATAGATCGGTTCGGGTTTTCAGTTCATGCACAGTCCCCAGTCAACGAATTCTTTGTAACAAAAGCTTCCCAATTCATTGATGAATGGTTAGCTGGTCCGTGGAGGTCATTCCCCTTTCCGTATCTTTCCACCAGCATGGCCGTGCGCAAGAGTACCATAATTGTCAAAACAGACTTCTGCCAAGTAGATCAAAACGATATATCGATGGCCACCAAGCAGCAGGGGTGACTCAAATGTCTCAACAATAATCGTAAGTTGTTTGTTTGCTCAGTCCCCTTTCGCCTTCGGCTCGTGCTGGGCATTGTCGTCTGAAAAATCGTCGATGTCCTCCGGCTCGGCCGCCTCCACCGGCACCGACTCGTCGTCGCCCGTGGTCCGACTGCTGGGGCTCGGTGGCGATCGCACACCGTCCTGAGGAACTGGTTGCACGTCATGGTACTGATTCTCCAGTCCGTGGCGGTCGAGCTTGTCGCCGTTATCCCGCATCTCGGTCGTCGACAGCGTAATATATGCGCCTTGGCCAAAGAACAGGCGGGGATCAGTACTGAGCATAGCCACACTTTCCAACGCCCTGGTTGGGCTAGTGAGCTTCACAAACCATTGCCTGTGTTAGTTCTACACCAACGGGTCTGGTGCCAGGAGTACAAAGTCACATAGGCGGAATGATGTATTCGTTTGAAAAGAGGATGCTTCATTGGATCCATTATGCGTTTATTGGAAGTCTTCATTGTCTATCTTGTGGCCATCCAGCCTGAGACAATGGCCACATAAGAAGCGACGGCAGTATGTTGGCCGTTCCCTTGGATTGTATGGAATGTAATCTGGAGCCGTTGCTGTTATTATGATATTATTCCAGACCGTTCTACTCGGCTTCGGGTCTTAGCAGCTCCTTCATTGAGCCGCTACTTCCAGACTTCTGTAGAGACCTGTTTGTGCGGCGTAGGGTCATTCGTTTCATGAGCTGTTTTAATTGGTAATGTATTAGGTTATCCATGTTCGCAAGGTACTGGTATTGACGCTTACTTCTGGTATACCTGTGGTATGGCTAGTAATAGTAGTAGTAGTAGATACTATCCCCTTCCCCTGTGGAATCATGAAGATCGAGTGAAGCTTCAGACGGGCTATCTGGTGTCTTGTTGTTTCATAGTAGACGGCATGGAATACGAATAGTATTCAAAAGATAAGGTTCTTTCATTGATGTAGAGGGGAATACTTTTCTTGGAGCCTCTACTTTATCATGATTCGGGGTGGTTAGGGTTCCATTGTATCATGAGGATAGACTAGGCTTTGAGAATATAGTAGTTGATAGGCCATCCAAAAAGTCGGAAGCTAGCATTTTATCTGGGATCTTTTGAACTTTTATCTAGTATAGATAGGGTGGGCTTATTTTGTGAGTTTAAAGAAATTATTTCAGGAAGAAGAAGAGAAGAGAAGGAAAGAAAGAAGCATATATATACTATGGGATAGGTGAATAGTTGTATTTAGGGGAATGATAGCATCGGAATGCACTGGATGTCATCCATCTGCTTCATCTATCCAAAACTTATTTAATAGACTCAGCAGCCAATGAATGATGTCGACACGACAAGAAGAATAAACAATGGAATGAATAAATTGATCTAGTCAATCATGGACCGTATTCACATCAGGCCATCCGAAGCACATAAAGTAAATAGTAGAAGATCGATCATCAGATCTAACCACGGCCAAACAAGGTAGGAGACAAAGAATGCAAGGCTAAGCGACGAAACGGTTGCATTATTCGTTCAGCACAGCAGGACGAACATGAACCAGTATTAATACAGTATAATAGAAAAGAATGGGTGTGTCTATCCCGATATCAACACCCAGAGTAGGAAGAAGATCTGCACAAGTTAGCTGCCATTCGACCAGCAAGTTACGGGATGAGCTTACCATTAGAACGCCAAACATCTTGGCGATGAGCCACCGGTTCCCGGATACCCGCGTCCAGTACTTCAGTAACTCGCGATGCGCTCCCTGCACGTTATCCACCACGTCTTCCGTGTTGGCATCTATCCGCTGGATCATGTCGGACTGCTCGCTGACCATCTGCGCAAGCTGACCGAAGATACCACCCAGCTCGCTGATGGTGCGTTCAATCGCATCAATTGCCTCACCACGCCCTTGAATATAGGCGTTGCTCGTTTGGGCTTCCTCCATAACCAGTAGTTGCTGATCTGAGTGCATGGAGGGGCGGCCGAGCGGAGACGGGTTCGAGGGTTCCAGAGTCAGTAGATCGGAAGCGCCGCCCGGCTGGGGCGTCCGCCGTCCAGATGTGTTGTAAAGTGGGGAATCGGAGCGCTGCGTATCGAGGGCAGAATGTGTCTTTGAGGATACTGAGGAGACAAAGTTCTCGGTTCTGGACCGCGAGGCCTGGATGTTCTTTGTTCGCACTTCAAGGACGTCTTTGAAGTTGGCTCCCACATCTGCCAATTTTCCTTGTAGCATGACAACCACCTAAACCCATTAGCTTCGTTCCGGTCTTTATATTGGTCGCACGTACATTGTCATTATGCTCTCCTTCCTGGTCCGCCTTCGACCGATTGCTCTTAGGATGTTGTGAAAGAGTAAGCGCTTGCAACGAGGCGATTTGCTGATTCAACGAGGCGAGATCTTGTTTGATCACAAACGTCAACTCGGAAATCTCAACCGGTCTGTCATCAAAGAGTGTCTTTCGCTTGGCCACTGCGAGTAATATTAGCGCAATTCATCTGACCGTCCAAAAGTCACTCACACTCGGCCAGTCTCTGCAGCTTCGCAGTCGTCGCCGTGATGCCTCGTCCAATTTCCACAGCTCTCCGTGCAAACTCCGATCGTCGTTTGCCACCCTGCCCGTCTGCGGAACCGTTTGCTTGTTTCCGCTGCGCATCTGTCAGAAGAGCCTGGCGCTGTGAACTGGCTTTGTTGGCGGCCATGCGCTTCTGGGCTTGACCCAGAATGGCGTGAAACTCGCCGGTACGATCTTGGATGGACGGGCCGGTCATTGTGTAGGTAGATGTAGGATCAATAGGAATTAGGCGAAAGAACGAGAAGTTGGTAGTCGGTCGCAATGCAGGCGAAGATGTACAGGGGTATAGCCGAATGCAGAACGAATGCGCGACGTGAGATTCCACGGAGTCGATCTAATCGATAAGGAGGCAACTGGAGACGTGTCCGTTGAGTGGTGGCGGTACAGCTTAAGATAGAAAGAGAGCGGAGAGGCACAGATTGTAGGTAAAGTGGGAGGATTACAAAAGAGCCATATCAATCAACCGAGACCAGCATCGACCACCGTAGAGGCACGGGGAGAGAAGATGGAGAGAGAGTGGACGAGCGAGAAGCCGACGTCGCCAGCCCGTCTTCCGTCCGTAATAGGAAAGGCGGAGGCTCAGCCACGTGCGCCCCAGCCACCCCAGTTTCTCACTAGCCACAGGGGCAGCACCAGCCACCTGGTGCCCCAGGCGTCAGGCTCCCAAACTGGTCCAGCAGCTTAACTGAAAGGAGTAGAGCTTCTTTCTCATTATTAGATCCGATGGAGTCTCAGGGGCACATCGCAATCAGCCTATCTTATCCCGCTGGCGATTAACTTCATTCAATTCCCTTCCGTACCCCATCCCCCAGACTCGTGTGCCTCCGTCCCCATTCTGATCGCGATCAGACGCCGCCCATCCCTTCCTTCGCTGCTAAGAATAACCCCCATTCCACGTAACGCCGCTGCTGCGCTGCCCCGTGGCTTGGGCTGTCATCGCCATCCTTGCTCCCACGTCATCTGGTGCAACCATCCTCTCTCGTTCTCCCGCGTCTTCCGTTCAACCTCGCAGCACCTTCGCATCCACGGTCGCTTCCTCCATACGCCTCTCAACCCAGGTCTTCTGCATGTGATATGCCGATCGGGCACTTACACCGACTATTCGATTAATGTTCATAGTCGGGTTGACACGGTCAGACTAGTCAGCAATGGCACGCCAGTTCCAGCCTTACGAGCCGGAGCTTCACAAACTGTAGGCCATGCGTATATCTTACTTGCAGGTCCCCGCACATAACTAACTCTGCCCTGGGCCCAGCTCCTCAACGTCCTCCGATAGCCCAAGCTCTCCTTATCCACGCGGCGGCACCCCGCTATCCTTCAAACCGAATGTGAATCGGGCGAAAACGAAACGTTGGGTCGAGGCCAAAAAGTACTCGTACGATGGGAATGATTGGGGAGATGATGAGTACGGCGAGTATGATGATGAGGATGAGACTCCGCCTGTTCCGCAGCCTCCCAGCATGAACCAAAGCACCGGAGATATCCCTAGCATGTTCACGAGAGACGTGTCTCGTCCACCCCTACCTTCAGCAGATCGGTCGAGATCCATGGATCAGGTGGCAACACTAGATGCAGCTGGTGCTGGACCGCATCGTAGCCTCTCTGCAGACCGCATGGCGGCCGCTCCTAACAACAACCGGACTGTCCCAATCGTGCGCCCGGCTGAGATCTACAAGAGGATGAGAGCGGAAAGTGCTGCTAGACAGCAGGCATCTGAGGCCGGATATTTCGTTGACAACCCGGGTGCGGCGCCACCTGGAGCGCCAGTGTCTCAGGATACTGCGTCGACCTCTCACGAACAACAACCAGCGGCATCTCCCGGCGATCACATACTCCACCCGGCCCAGGACCTTACTGAGGGGCCATCAGATGCTGGAAGTACGCCCCACGGCTCCCGTCCTGCTGACGCATCTACACATGAGCCTCCCGTCATCCAGCTACCAGATATGAAACGTCTTTCTGGATTTAATCCTGATCTCTCACTCGGACCCCATTCTAACGCCCAGATAAATCCGGAGTCGGAGGGTCAGGAACATACACTACAGCACAATCCTTCTTTGGGATTCCGGTCGGTTGTTCACCAGGCTTTCGATGTGGAGACCCCAAGCACCACGGTGGACAGCATTGCTCGGTCTAACAGCGATAGCACCTCGGTGATTAGCCCGATTATACCCCAGCACAACCCGAGCGAGACCAAGACTCCTACGATTGTAGAAGAACCCGAAACCATCTCGACACCCAAAGAAGAACCAGGAAACATGGTGTTCAAGCCCGGCCACCGTCGAGATTTGAGCCTTCCTAGCCCAAATAATAGCCCATCTAGAACACCGGTTATCGCTAGCGTCGAAGGAACTGCGCCGTCTGCGGTCGGGGAAATGGCCTCGAACACTCCAGACTCGCCCCAGAACATTATCGCAAGCCCGCAGAAAGCAACGGTGCAATTGCCAGAGGCTGGCGACGGTCTTCCCGCGCCACTTAGCGTTGGTACCAGCCATCCTCCCTCCGAACCTACAATCACCACTGGGGACGGTGTCCCAGTAATCATTCCATCCTTCAGTACAGACAACTCGCCCCAGGACACGGAGAGTGATCGGCTGCGGAAGGAAATCATTCGTTCTTTGAGCCGGGAGAACACCCCGTCGGAAGATCCAGACCATGAAGATGAGCGCCGCCTGGAAGCACCGCAACAAGACAGCAGTGTTATGCTGGACGAATACGAGCGTTACTGGACGAAGGAGGCCTTGCCCACTTCTCGCGACGGTGACCAACCTCCTGATTACGGGAGTCCCTCATCTGCCCCTCAGGATACGCCCACACAACCAAACCCTCTCACTGCCGCCCCAACACCTTCAGCGCCAGCCTCGAAGCCGAAGCTGACCAGGCGATTTTCTTGGG